CTCTCGAGGCACTTTCCCAGCCCCCTCTCCGCCACCCAGACTATAATCGCCATTTTCTCGATTATACTTTTTCGCGGCCGGCCTTTTTGTGCTTTGGCCAGCGAGTTAATTGTTCCGGAAAGACTTCCCGGTATGGAAATAAATGGGGTGAGTTTGGACTTTCTAGCTATCTTTCGGGTACTTGAAACACGAAATAGAGATGTCTCAGTGACAAAAGCGAGTAGAAATGCCGACATTTTAAATGTGAAGGAAAACGAATGAAAACGAACGCCAGAAAAACGCAATCCTTCACCGACCAAAATGCCGACAGCCAAAAGCGACAAAATCTCGGCAGCAAAAATCCCAAATGCTAAAATCCCGAGATCGAAAGTCCCGACAGGAAAGATCTGTGCATCCAAAGTAACGACATCTATCCCAACAGGTAAAACCCCGAAAGACCCAAAACACAGCAGAGTCTGAATGCCGACAAATAAAATGTAGACAACACACCAAAATCCAGAGAGACCAAAATACCGACAACCGCACCCTGACACACAAAATAACAGTTTAAATTAAGTGGCATTCAAACTAGTGCCAATAATTTGTCGGTATTTTGGCCCTCGGGATTTCGGCTCGGGATTTTGCTGTCGGTATTATGGCTCGAAACGGTAGGAGAGGATGCGAAAAAACAAAAGATTTGTTAAAATTCCTAGCCTATGCAAAGCGGCCCAGATTTTCGAACCTTTCCGCTTCCCTTGTTCTAAAATTTCCATAAGCTTACCGCTCAATTAAAATCACTTCGGTATCCATCCGAAATTTCGAAGAATTATAGTTAATAATTGCACTATTTGGAGAGAATATGAATATTTTGAGTCGTCCAGACGGGAATCCCCCTCTTTGGAATTGGAGACCGGGAAAACATGTTTTTTGGAGGGTGACTTGAGAGCTGTCGCTCGGGGAAATTTGATTTGCATGGCTTCCTTTCCGCATAATGAGAGGATGATGTTCAAAAAATTGACGGAGGTTGAGATTTTAACTCAGAAATTAGATTTTTTACGTTTAGAGGAAGCGAGGCAGATTTTTAATGGGTTTAAAGCACCTCTTGATCATCCTACAAAGCATAAAAAATTAAATTGGAAAATTAAGAACTACAAAAAACCCAACTTTTTGCTGAGCGTCTCGAGGATGAAGTCGGACAGTCGCCGCTTTTGCCCCATCGCGTCGGGGACCTAAAGGTGCAAAAAAAATTTAAAAATAGATGGTCGGATATAATTCACATTTTTTTTGGCATTTTTGAGCGTTAATGACTACTAACCTGCAGATACTGAGAACCACCTTCGATGAGGGACCCACGGTGGAGCGAGAGTCGAGGTGAGAGCGAGTGAAGCCATGGCCAGGAACGCTGAAAAAATGGGTAGAATCTTCTTATCTTCTTCTTTTTCCTTTCTCTCCATCTCTCTCTTCTCTCTCTCTCTCTCTCTCTCTCTCTCTCTCTCTCTCTCTAGCCTCTCTCGTGCTCTCTTTCTGTCCTCTCCTTATTTCAAGCATCAGTTCAGTCATTTTAGTTCTGTTGATCATCATTTCCCAAAGGGCTCATGGTAGCTTGGCAGAAGAGAGAAGAGAGAGAGAGACAGAGAGAGAGAGATAGAGCGATAGAGAGAGAGAGATAGCGAGCAAGCGACATTGATGAAATCCCCTACCTTTACCGACGGATCACTCGGCGTTATCGTCAGCTTGACGTGCGTAGGTGTAGAGCAGGCAGAAGCCGGGTACTGGGCCGAGCCTCGGCGCACCATGATTCCTAGAATAAATAATCATACCATTCGTCTCCCATTGTATCCATTTGAAATCGGAACGAAAATTTACACCAAATTCTCATAAATTGGCACAGGAAACAGAAAGGAAACTTTTTGAAAAAGAACAAGCAGGCAAGCGAAAATAACCCCGATTCTTGCACACCGCTACGTTACACGCCTAATTACGCGTAGCCGTCAACCCGAAAAACCCGTAAAGCAGATGACTTCCAAGGGAAATATTCTTATTTTCGGCCATTTTCCCTGCGAATTCCAATGCATAGCCGCCGGTGGAAAACATGTAATTATTCAGGCGGGACAGCGCGTCGAAAAATTGGTAGCTTTAAATGGGGGATTTCGAGAAAAGCGAGAGGGATGTTCGCACATTAATGTTTGGGCTTTAGAGCAAATCGCAGCCTAAGGTAAGCGTAAGCCTAAGCCTAAGCCTAACCCAAACCCAAACCCAAGCCTAAGCCTAAGCCTCTGCCTAAGCCCAAGCCTAAGTCTAAACCTAAACCTAAGTATAAGCCTAAGCCTAAGACGAGCCTATGCCTAAACCTAGGCCTAAGTCGAACACTAAGCCTAAGTCTAAGCCTAAGCTTGAGCCAAGCCTAAGCTGAGCCGAAGCCTAAGATAAACTTTCCGGACAAAGTGAAACTTGAACCAAAATGGATTTCGAAAAAATGCCGTCAGATCCACTCAGACGTGCAGCTAATTTTAGCCGTGCACCCCGGTGGACGTCTACGACACGATGAGCAAATGAGCGACCAAGAAATGTGAGAAATCTCAGAGGAGACGGAGGAGGTCGGGTGGAGCTTTGGTTTTGGCGAGGATGGGATACTCTCCATCCACCCCCCGGGGGCCACTTTGGCAGCATTTCTGGGGCGTCGCATTTCAAGTTCACAAAAAAAGGAGCCGAACAAAAAAGGGTGGACTCTCGAGACAACCCCCTTGCCCTCTGCGGCTGCACCCCTGAAAAGTGGCTAAAAATTCTGACCTCAGTGAGGGACACCCAAAACCCTCCTTGAGGAAGCGGATGGGGCTGTGAAAACGGATTGGGTTCCGACCGGGTGGATAGTTGCGAGTTTTGGAAAGTTGCCAAGCTGCCTAAGTTTACCCCAGCCTAAGCCGAAGCCTAAGCCTAAGCTAAAACTAAGTTAAGCCTCGGCTAAGCCTAAGCTAAGCGAAGCTAATCCTAACCTAAGCCTAAATTAAGCCTAAGCTACGCGTGAGCTAAGCCAAGCCTAATGCTAAATAAATCCGAAGCCTGCTTAAGCTAAGCCTAACCTAAGCCAAGCCAAGCCCAAGCCTAAGCCAAGCCTAACCTAAGTCTACTTTTTTCTTGAAATATGCCAAAATAGTTCATAAAAACGTGTAATCTTTAGGTTTCCATGCCCTCGGGCTCTTCACCCTGAATTAATCAGCAGCTTTAAAAAAAGCTCGGAAAACGAGGAAGTATGCGGGAAACTAGAATCATAGCTGGAATTTTTGAGAGAGAGAGAGAGAGAGAGAGAGAGAGAGAGAGAGAGAGAGAGTGAGAGAGAGAGAAACGGAGGGAGCGGCAGAGAGCGATAAAGAAAAAAACATATTGAACGACCCAGAGAAAAACGAACAAAAAAGGTGAATTCTGAAGTTAATCAGAAATTTTTAAATCTGCATTTTTAAATCTTTCGGAATATTTTAATTCATTTTCTAGCCAAATTCCAGCCGTCAAAGGTAAGAAAGAAAAGCAAATTATAAAGTACATCGTCCCGACTCTCGCTACTCAAAAAATGAAAAATGACGCGCTGGCAAAAAATCTCATCGCCCCGCCGCGGCCCTTCAAATCCCGGCCGTGCATCATTTCCAACATTTCACCCAAGACCCGAAAAAATGCTCATTTCGGCCTTCAAATTAGCCCGGGGCCAGGGGTCCAAGTTTTGCTCATAATCTCGAGAAACTCGCCTGGAATTTGGGGTTCAATTTCAAGGTGACGAGGGTAAATATTTGAACGGGAGAACAAATCGAGTGGATTTATCGGGATTTTGGCCGAAATTGTGATTGATATTAGAAAAACCGGGGGTGCTTTAGGGTGTCGAACGGAAAGTTGCGAAAGAGCGAAAATGGGGTCTTTGGATAAAATTTTCCGGAAATTTGCATGGCTGGACGAGGAAGAAAAGCAGGGTTTGGGAAGACAAAGATCAGAAGAGATAGAGAGAGAGAGAGAGAGAGAGAGAGAGAGAGAGAGAGAGAGAGAGAGAGAGCGGAAGCACGAGGGAAAGCGAGCAGGCGAGAGAGCGAGATGGAGAGAGATAGTGCGAGAGAAAAAGAGCAATACGAGACGAGAGAGAGAGCATTGAGACTCGAGAGGGTAGTTGGGGGGGAACGAGAGAGCTAGTGGGAGATTGAGCCGGAGAGAGACAGAGAGAGAGAGAGTGAGAGGGAGAGCGAGGGAGAGACAGAGAGCGAGAAAGCCAGTGCGAGAGATAGTACTATAGCGCAAAATTCAGCGTTTTCTGCATTCCCCATCCACTTTAAACGTTCCAGAAATAAATTTAGATAAAGCTTTACCAAAAATGCTTTGAACCAACTTGTTTTTGAACGCAAAATAGCTTCAGCAATCTTTAAACTCGGTAAAACCCGCAAAAAAGTTTCAAATCGAACAAAAACCTCCTCCTCGACCAGCCGTTTGCAAGTTGATTTGGGGCAATTTCCCCCAACACGGAGTTGGTCGACCCTTTAAATGCCTTCAAAGAGAAAAAAGTGGCCCCATCTGAGGGCCAGCCCGCAGGGAGAGATGGACTTTTTGCTCAGAAATCGAGTTTCACTGTTTCTTGGGCCCTGGCCTGGGGCTGGGCCCTAAACGCTCATGTTAAGCCCTTTTTGGGGCCCAGGTTTGAGGTTGGGATTAGGTTTTGAGGTTGCGTTTTGGAGAACAAGGGGGTTGAATGTATGGCTGTTTTGCTTTGTAGCTCTCTCTTCTCTCTCTCCTCCCTCTCTCCCCTCCCTCCTCTCTCTCTCTCTCTCTCTCCTCCTCTCTTCTCTCTCTCTCTCTCTCTCTCTCTCTCTCTCTCTCCCTCCACGTTACCCTGAGGATGACCTTTCAAGCCCAGCTGTTACCAAAAAAACCAAAATTCCGCCCACTCAAAGTGTTTTTTCAAAATTTCCTAAAGAATCACTGCTAGCCCGCCACGTCCCAAAACCAAGGAATGAATATAAAATATTTATGCAAATAAATATACAAATTTAGGCTCGTTTCCGGATCAGAACATCGACGGAAACTGGGGAGATCGTGATCGGCCCGCGGAGCTCCATTTCCTGGAATTTTCAGCTTGCTCTTTCTCTCTCTCTCTCTCTCTCTCTCCCTCTCTCTCTCTCTCTCACTCCCCCCTGTCTCTTCTCTCTCTCGCTCTCCCTTCTCCTCTCTCTCTCGCTCTCTCTCTTTCTCTCTCATTCCCTACCTTTGGATTCGGTACCGGATGCAACTCGTATTTCCTTAGCAATTGCACTAGGGCCATCTTCTCCTCGGTGTAGGCCAGTCGGCTGCCTGTCAAAAAATTTTTTAATCGCTTTGTGAACTAGATAATCACTAAATTTTTTTAAATGTGTTGAGAAGGCAGATGCATTAAAAACCGGACCCAGAAATCCTTAAAAAAATCGAAAATATGGAAACTTCCTACCTACACAAACGCGAGGTCCGCCTCCAAACGGGAGGTAGGCCATCTGTTGCTCCCTTGGTTGGGTTCATCCACCTGAAGACAAGTGTTGGAGTTTTTCAAACAAAAGCCTATGCCTAAGCCTAAGCCTAAGCCTAAGCCTAAGCCAGGCTCGCGACTGCAGTACTCACCGATCCGGCACGAACTCCTCCGCGTCGGCGCCCCAGATTTCTTTGCTTCGCTGCAGAGTGTAGGCGTCAATCTGGACCATCGTCCCCTTGTCAATCGAAATCCCCGCGATTTCACAGTCCTCCTCCGCCACTCTGGCGACAGCGCTAAAAATAAAAATGTAAAACCTAAAATGATATATTCATTAAATGCCAAAATCATAACGTCGAGATTCTTACACAGTGGCCAGAGGATGGAGGCGTAGCCCTTCTTTTGTCACGCAATCCATAAACTTTAGCTCGGCCAGTTGTTCGTTGGATACTTCCTGGAAAAGATCACTCTATCTCTCTCTATCTCTCTCTCTCCCCCCCCCCCCCCCCCCCCCCTCTCTATCTCTCTCGCTTACCTCGGTGGTACAAACGTGATCGATTTCCTCGCGTAATCGATCTTGAATATCCTTATTTAACGCCAAGAAATGCGAGACGTAAGCCAGGGTGTTGGCCGTAGTGTCGAAGCCAGCCAGGAGGAAGACGAAGCACTGGGCGATTACCTGAAAATATATTTCTCTGTTTCTAGATTTCTCTCGCTCTTTCTCTTTCTTTCTTCCTTTCTTTCTCTCTCTCTCTCCCTCTCTCTCTCTCTCTCTCTCTCTCTCTCTTTCTCCTCCCTACCTCTTCCGTCGTCAACTTCTTAGCTACGGTAGGATCGCGGCGATCAAAAGACCCCTCCTGCGAGTGATCAATTGTGGCTTCAGCGCTCAAAAACATATCGATAAAATCGTCGTTGGTGATGTTGCCGGCAGCCTAAAGACGTACTTTACACCCGGCTACAAAATACAACCCCCGATGAAGCCTAGAAAGAGCTTACCCTAGCCTTTTTCCGCTCGGCGACGGCAATTTCAATCTGCGCGTACAGTCTGCCGATCGGGAGCTTCAGGATTGTGGCGAGGCGCAAGAAAATGGGTTGCAGGATCTGGAAGTGGTTTAGGCTTAGGCGTGAATTTGGGCGTAGGCTTTGACTTAAACTTAGCTTACGCTTCTGGTTTAGGCTTCGACTTAGACGTAGGCTTAGGCTTGGCCCCAACTATGCCTTGCCCAGGCTCAAGCTCAAACATACCGGTTTCAAGAACGGTGCCACGGTCAGCATCAGGTAGAACGGCTCTTTCATGTTGCGGTCGAACAACTAAATTGTACAGTATAAGATGGGATCCATAGGCTGATTTAAAGGGCGTGACAGCTGATAAAATTGCTCTTAGAACATCGCCCTTAATGGGCCTTAAACAGAGCGTCACACCCCCTCAACCTACCCCTCTCAATATCTCGGGATATTGACTGTTCCACTGCTGGCTGCCCTTCACCCCCATGGCGATTCTGGCGATCACGTCCATGGTGTATTCTTGGTAGTACCTAAAACGTGACCTCGCTACCGTAATTCCAGAGGTACTAACAAGTGAATGTTGATAGGGTCCTTATCAACGTGTTTTCCGATGTGTGCAACGAGGTGTCGAGCGGAATCGTTGACGATCGGGGAGATCTGCAAGAGAGAGGAAAGTGAAGCCGGCAGAGAGAGAAAGAGAGAGAGAGAGAGAGAGAGAGAGAAAAAAAAAAAAAAAAAAAAAAAAAAAAAAAAAAAAAAAAAAATCTAAAATAAAAATTATTTTACCCGTTTCAGAGAGTTGTTCGAAAATTGCGGCATAACGATCGAGCGCAGCCGCTTCCACCTAAAATAGTATAAGGAAAACTTTCATAGTCATACCGCTGGCCCCAAGCATCTGCCAAATGAACTCGATCGTCCTTTGGATCGCGCTGGATTAGGTGATCGCCCTAGAAAATTGAAAATCTATCTCTCTCTTTCTCTCTCTCTCTCTCTCTCTCGCTCTCTCTAACCCACCTTCCTCTGCGGAAATTCCTCAAATCGTTTGTGCAATATTTCATTTGCAGTCTCGAGATCAGCAACGACCAAAACGTTATGAACACCCTCTTGGTACCCCCAGAATTTGCCGAATTTCTAATAATAACACATTTTTGCAAAATATATCTTTGGGAGTACCTTTGTATATTTCGCCAGCTCCAGATACCAAGGCTTTTCCTTGTCGACAACCTGGAAGATGTGGCCGAAGGGGAAGATGCCTGAAAATGTAATTATTTTTGTGTGTCACTCTCTCTCACGCTCTCTCTCCCTCTCTCTCGCTTACCTGGTGGACTTTGGAGATTCCGCTCCTTCCAGTAGTAACTGCGCTTGAAGGCCCATCTAAAATAAACTTGTAACCTCTTAATCGCCAAGAAAACTAAATTAACAACATTGATTAAAATAAAAGTCACGCTACAGTAAATTACAGGATACGGTAGAGTACGCAAAAATGCCAACAGTACATAAAAGTACTGCGTAGTACGGAACACTATGATACAGTACGGTGCGTGACTCTAAGATTCGCTGCATAATACGCAAGAGTACGTCATGATACGCTTCCGTACCCGCACCCGCACCGCAAATCCATAAACTTATATAAAACGTACAATAAATATCCGGTGAGAGCTGCCGAGGCGACAGCGAAGAGCACTTGGAGGATCATCTTTCCTAAAATGTCTTCAAATTTTATGGCAGATAATTAAATAACGTCTTGGAATCAAACTACGGTAATGAAGGTCAAAAACCGCTGTGTCATGGGAAAATGTGCTCAAGCAATTGAGCCGCAAAATTGGAGGAAGGTCTTGGGTGGGTGCAACTGGCGTTTCTCCACCCTGCCCCCGCCCATTTTATCCCCTCGAAATGTCGTGCGGGTATGATTTCTAGCCGGTTTTTGGAAAAAAGTACGGATAAATACTATGGTGTAGCGATGGGGGTTGTGCTTTTGGAGATTTTAAGCGTTCTTTTTCTATGGTATTGAACTAATCACCACTACCATCAAGCGAAAGAGAGAGGGAGCGAGCGAGAGAAGAAAAAGAGAGGGAGAGAGAGACAGAAAGAGAGAGACAGAGAGCCAGCGAGCCGGAGAAAGAAATAGCGAGCGAGAGAGTGCGGTAGAGCGAGAGACACAGATATCGAGGGGGAGTGGCAGAGGGAGAAGAGAGCGAGAGAGAGAGAGAGAGAGAGAGAGAGAGAGAGAGAGAGAGCTGAGAGAGTGATAGGCAAAAAATATGAAATAGAGCTAACGAAAGCTGCATAAATATTGCCCTCGCCTGCCAAAATGTACAGCTCTGTCCCTTTTCGTGCTGATTACCCCAAAATCCGCACAAAATCGCACAAAATGTGGTCATTTTCCGGGAAGATACGGGGAGACAGTCTCCCTCCCCGGTCAGCAGTCAGCAACCCCACGAGGAGATTGGCCAAAACATGACCTGATCGCCGGGGAGCGATCCATCAAGCGGGGTGGAACGGAAATAATTTTCTGGAAAGACGGAGCCGTGATTTTACGGTTGGAAACTTTAGGTCGTCTTCAAACTTCAGGTCGTCGTCTCCGCTTACTAGTTAGCCCCCGCCGTCCAACTTCGTTCGGATGATGTAGCTTCAACGTCTTCGAACTGTGCATAGGTAGACTAACAAAAAAAAAGCGCGATCCTATGTAGCAATTACTGAGCCTCAAAAATCAAAATTCGGAGTTTTGACTCCTTGTGGTATCCCCCCACAAACCCACGTTGAGCACTCGGCTTTTCGGTCCTTTATGGAAGCCGAAAATAACATCAGTTTCTTTCAAATTTCCAGCGCTTATGCTACTCGATGAGTTTTATCGGTTACCTTAAAGGGCTCCGAAATCGGTCGCCCCTCTGTGATTCCTGGCAATAGCCAGATGGGCCGTAACGGACCGCGTGCCATCTCCTCTGTTTGGACGCGGAAACGCTTGAATTTCAAAATTCTGATATTATTTTTGGAATCCTCAACGAATTTTGATCATTCGACTTTTAAATTATGAAATTGACCAAAGAATCCCGAGATCGAGAGGTTGGGTGCACACGCATTGACATGATCCCCTCTCAAAATGCCGTTTCGCCCAAAAGTTGGTTTCTCAAACATTTCGTTTTCGCAATCTAACTTTTTGCCTTCCGGCAGTGCCGTTTGCCCGGGTTCTCCCGCACGTGTTGCCGGCTTGATGCGGCGGCGAGAGAGGGCGCCCAGGGGAGAGGCGCAGAGACATTTTCTTTCCCGGGCGTAATCGATTGCCTTATGCCGCCCCTGTCCCTTTAACCAGCTTTAAAATTTTGCGTCCGGTTCTCGAGTTATAGTCATTTGAACATGCAGCAGGTACCGCCAGGTGGTACCAAGTTTCATTCTCATCCTCCTCCTATAAATTCTGATGTCCCATGACAAACTATACAGTAATACCTTCCAGACTTGCCACGCTCTGGTTTCCTATTCAAATTTTAATTTGGCGCCCGCACACGGATTACCGTAGCCCGGCCGGGATTTTTGGATGATATTCCGGCGAATATTAGGGTAGTACTTGGTATGAACTGGGGATTTAGGGCTGATTGCGCTTCGGTGCTCGTTCTTCGATGACAAATATTCGAAAATTGCGCGATTACCACGCGATTTTGAGCTGAGCAAGACTTTCATAGCACGGCCTGTCAGTGGAGCAAAATATGCATGTGGGAATTACATGGTTATTCCGGTTTCTAAATTTTCAGATTTCTGTGGCTTCCTTGTTTTACTGTCGTTCGGTCTCTATCTATACATCTCTCTCTCTCTTTCGCTCCGTTTCTCTCTCTCCTTCTATCCCTTTCTCCCTCTCTATCTTTCTCTCTCCCCTCTCTCTTTCTCTCTCTCTCCACCTCTCTCTCCTCTCTCTCTCTCTCTCTCTCTCTCTCTCTCTCTCTCTCTCTCTGTTTCTCGTTCCCTGTATAGTAAGTAGTCAGTAACTCTCATGGTCCGTCAATTTGACATGCTCCGTACTTCCGTACGTGACTGTCCAAAATACACAACAAAATACTCGAGGGGGAAAAGCCCTGGGAATCGGATATCCGGTGCTCCTCGTCGTGTCCAGGGCCTATTTTTGCATCCATCCGCCCAATACCTGCAGACCGGGCGCTTTTCCCTGAATAATTGAGTGGTGAGGTGGTCCTGTGGGAATCGTGGTGTAAATAGAATATTCCTTACATTTTTCGGGGTCGACAACAATACGTATGGCAGGCTGCAAGCTCGATCAATGGATTGGTATTTGCAGCATGCTAATTTAGCAATTTTTGTCGGTTTTCTGGCTCTTAAAGGGGTTGGCAAGTATCGACCATCTTGTGTTGGGCGATAGATACCACGTGATTTAAAAGCGCCGTGGGGGCTTACGTTTATGGAGCTATCAAAGCAGGAAAAACGCTCAAATCCCGACGGGCAAAATCCTGAAACCCGGAAATCCCGACAGCAAAACATACAAAATAACTGCTTAAATGTGGCGTACAAACGATCGTGATTTCGGGATTTCGGCTGTCGGTATCTTGTTTGTCCGGCTGACGACTGTCGGGATTATGGTTGTCGGGCTTATGTTTGTCGGGATTTGCGCTGTCGGGATTATGCCGGTCGGTATTTTTGAATGCCAGAATTCCGCCGGGATTGCGCTGTCGGGATTTTATCTAGCGGGATCTTGCCTATCGGAATTATGGTTGTCGAAGAGTTTTCGTTTTTTGAAAACAGGATCACGGCAATTCCGTCCTTTCAACAGTTTCGTCCTCTTTTTAATCCAACTCAAACTTCCCGGTCCCTTGAAAAACACCAAAACCTTGCTGGCTTCATTTTCCGCGCCGTGTTTTAGGGGGCCCCGGTCTCATTTGCACCCGAAAATTTATGGCCCCATATTAGGGGCCATATTTCAGGCAGGGTCTTGTGGCAAGGCCAGGAGATTGGTGGCCTTATTTTTGGTTCCCACGCGTTTTTCGGTGGATTTTTGGTCATGTTAATACCCTGGGCCACTGTAGGGAGGGCCAACAAAAATGCAGGCATTCGCCTCGCACCAAAACATTATTAAAAAGCCCGGGAAGGGAATATTCCGGTTTTGGATCTCAAGCGTTTTTCGGTATCGTTCAATTTCACGTCAGGTTTCTCTCTTTCTCATTCTCGCTCACACTTTCCCTCCCTCTCTCTCTCTCTCACTCTCTCTCTCTCTCTCTCTCTCTCTCTCTCTCGCTCTCTCTCCCCCGCTATCTCTCTCTCTTTCGCTATATATCTCCCCCTCTCTCTCGCTCTCTCGCTCTCTCTCTCTCTCTCTCTCTCTCTCTCCCTTGCTTCTTATTTGGTTTCTGGCACCCCGCGATGTAGCGACAATTCCATAACGAACGAATTTCCGCTAAATCTGTACTTCCCGAAATACACGACGAAGCCCAATTTCCACCTCCCATCACACGGAAGCCCCGAAATAACGGTCTTTCCTAGAATTCCAGGGGCTCCGACTACGCAATCGTCCTTTTTACCTTCCAGCTTGCCATTGAAAACGTTGCGGAACTTCCCGGAGGGACCCTCATTTTTAGAAGGGGTCACCGGATTCAAAAGGCCCCGGTCATTTTGAAGGCATTTTTGGCAGTTGCGACGTTCCTTTCAGGCACTCTTCTATTCGGAACGCCGTCAATTATTCGCTCGGCTTTGCAGTTTCCTCTAAACAATTCTGCGTTTTTTCCGATGGTTCCGGGGTTTAAAAACAGCACAAAAATGCGAAATTTGGCAGACCTTAATGTATTTGCTTACGAAGCCCAAGACTAAGCAGCTTTAGCCAAAGCCTAAATCTACGCCTAACGCTAAGCCCAAGTCCCAGATTATGCATAAGCCTAAACCTAAGCCTAAGCCTAAGCCTAAGCCAAAGCTAAGCCTAAACTGAACCTAAGCCTAAGCCCAAGTCTAAGTCTAAGCCTAAGCCTAAGCCTAGGCGTAACCCTAAGCTTCAGCCCAATATACCCAAATTTTTATACAGTAAACCTTCTATTGCTCATCATGTTATTTCTCCCTCCGTCCTACACCTCTTTATGCCGGCGGCCCGGGCCGAAAATTGTAGCCATTTTCTTGTAGCTTTCGATTAGTACTAAAAATAGGTGTCACATTACGAAAATCGGCTATACGAAAATAGTATTTAGTAAGATTTTAAGTTTCTAAAGTTAGAAGCATTGTTACTGAAATTTCAGGGCAAATTATGTTAATTTTAAATAACCAAGCTTCAGTTTTTAGGCTATGACTTTTTAATGTACCTAAATTTAATCAGCTAATTGATTTCCGGGTTGACGTCAAAAGCCGGTCTTTTACGAGCTTTTTAAAGGAAACTAGGAGCGAATTTTGATGAATTGGTCGGGGCGGGAGGTGCGCAACTCTTTTTTTTGCGGTGGCTCGTAGAATATTTAACGAAACCGGGGCGTATTCTATTCACAACGAATTTTCGGCCGGGTCCGTTTCGGGTTTCCGGTTGTGTTTCAGTAATTTTGCAAAATTTCAAAGAGCTTTTAGGGCAGGTTTAAATTAAAGGCGTGGGATTGGCAGGATGTATTAAGTCGGATTACGGTGTGGTGAATGTACCGGCAGAAATGAAGTTCCCATGAAGGGAGCGAGAGAGAGGGATGGAGAGAGAGCGAGTGCGAGAGAGATGGGGTGGCAGTTTTGTTGAATTTT